CCAAAACAGTACGGAACAACCGTGTTTCTTCAGGAAAGGCAGCAGACGTTTATTCAAACACTCTTTCACGTAAATTTCTTGGTTGACAGTCCCGGAAGCTATGAAAATGCTGCTTTTCAAGCCACAGGTACAGATGGCTTGCCAAACCAGATATTTCTTTGCGAACTTTGACAGTTTCATGTGCTTGAAAACATCTGCTACCTTTCCCCTTCCTTTTGCCGTATAAAACTCCTGTCCCGAAAGCTGCTTGTAGTCGGCTTTGACGTAGGTTTCGTCGTCCATTACCACGCAGTCAAACTTCGTCAGCATCGTCGTGTACAGCCTCCGGGATCGCGCTTTGGCCGTCGTATTTTGTTTATCATCGCGATTTGGAGTCACTACCTTCTTGTAAGTCGATAGTCCGGCTCGTTTTTTGGCTCGATGCACGGTTGTAGACGATACACCCAGCTTATTTGCGGCATCTCGGAGAGAGAGGTTAGGGTTTCGCTTGAAACTACCGGCAACTCTCTTTGTCGTCTCAGCGGCTTCCGGTTTTCGATTTCCCCCCGATCCAGACTTCCTGGCTGTCGACAAACGTTCCCCAAACACTTTAATTACATTTGTAACGGTTGATTTGGCAACTTTTAGCGATTTTGCCAACTTTGCGTGCGAGTAGCTCGGATTTTCGCGATGCGCGAGCAAAATTTTGATACGCTGCTCTTCTTGCTTGGACGGCATTTTGACAACTGAAGAGTGAATTCCAAAATCAAAATAGGAGCAACATTCTACACACACACACACCTTCAAAATGAGGGGTGTTCAGGTTTTTTAAATGCAAAATTGAAAGAAATACGTCAAGTTGATATTGACCAAATTTTGACCGTATAACCCTTTATAAGACTCGTTCTGTGTACATTATTTCCACAAATTCTTAATAATTCCCATATATTTTCATTAGAAAATTATAATTATAAGTACTTGATAATCCGTTACATGTCATTATATTTTCCTATACAATCTATTTTAATATCGCATAGAAATCATATGATGGTTCGAATCGCGAGTCAATTGAATTTCTTTGCTCATTTCATGTAAAAGTCATGTGATGAACTTATAAACACTATCTATATAATTTTCAAATGACTGTCATGTGGATGAAATCCATATGATTTTTTTAAATGGTTTTAAGATGGAATATTCTTAGCGTGTAGCACTATGTGGTAGATTTTGCCAAATAATTTTAGATATATTTGGAATTAGGGCGTAACCGATTTTGTAAAGAATGACTTCTCTACATGATTTGTAGACATTCAAGGCACGTGAAAACAGATTTCGGATTAATCTATAATTTTGTCATAAATACCACTTTAAAGCTATTGACAACTATCACGCTCGTTTGAATGCTGACATTGTATGTTTTAGAGCATCTGCTAAATAAAATTGAAATTTATGTAACATAAAAAACATTTTGTTACGGAAAATTCATCAAAACATGCAGACTAGGATCCCTTGATCAAATAAAATTAGGATTTTACTTGATATCTTTCACCTAAAATTTTCTACTAGTCAGCTACGCATGGCATTAAGGTAAATTTCACCCTGGTGATCAATTTCCCCGTGAATTACGGAACTTGAAATGATTTCAAATTATTTGCTAAGAATAAATACTTCCTCAACATTTTTAATGTCTTCATTTCTGGAATCCTTGCCCACTCGTCTAAATGAAACACATCTGGTGTCACCAATAATGTCTGGTAGAGAGAAGTTTGACAGTGAGCATGCATAAGGGCGTAAACGCGATGATCGATTCTCTTCGTCGATTTTCTCTTCATCGACACACGGAAGCTCTACGAGAAGCTAAATAGTTCGCGCAAAGGCTACGTGCAGCAAGCTGGGGGGGGGGGGGGGGGGGTTGGTGGAGCTGACTGTCAAATACGACCAATCGTCGCCTACCTCGCATATCTGGTTCCAAACGAAAACAAAGCAACGATGGTTTACAAATTTACAAATGGAAAATCAATGAGCGTAGACAGGTGAGGCCTAGTAATGTTGTCGTCTCTTTCGTTCTTCAGCTGATTAAATGGATGACGGAGTTTGACGTCACTCTCCTTCAACCGTTTAAAAAGCGGGAGGATAAAGGTGATGACACATTCACTGAGCCTTACATATTTACGTCTCATTGACGACTGTTCAGTAGGCCGATTTGATAGCACATCCCGCCCCTGGCCGCAAGCCGATATGTGCAAGGACTTGGACGGTAACCTTCTCACGAACGAGTGTGAGGTGATTGAGAGGTGGAAGCAGTACTATGACGAGCACCTCAACGGTGAAGCAGCAGAAAACGAAGGTGGCACGGCAACAGACCTTGGAGCACGCGCAGAAGACGACAGGCTACCGGCCCCTGATCTTCAAGAAGTTGAGGAGGAGATCGGTCGGCTGAAGAACAACAAAGCAACTGGTGTAGATCAACTACCAAGTGAGCTATTAAAATACGGTGGTGAAGCACTGGCTAGAGCACTGCACTGGGTAATTACCAAGATTTGGGAGGAGGAGATATTACCGGAGGAGTGGATGGAAGGTGTCGTATGCCCAATCTACAAAAAGGGCGAGAAGTTGGATTGCTGCGACTACCGCGCGATCACACTGCTGAGCACCGCCTACAAGGTACTTTCCCAAATTCTATGCCGTTGCCTGTCACCATTTGCAAGAGAGTTCGTGGGGCAATCTCAGAAGGGATTCATGGGTGCCCGCGCTACCACGGACCAAATTTTTTTGATTCGGCAGGTTCTGCAGAAATGCCGCGAATACAAGTGCCCACACATCATTTGTTCATCGATTTCAAATCAGCATACGACACAATCGATCGAGATCAGCTATGGCAGATTATGCACGAGTACGGATTTCCGGATAAACTGACGCGATTGGTCAAGGCGACGATGGATCGAGTGATGTGCGTTGTTTGAGTATCGGGGACACTTTCGAGTCCCTTTGAATCTCGACGGGGGCTACGACAAGGTGATGGACTTTCGTGTCTGCCAGAAGAGCTGGGATAGACACGAGTGGCACGACCTTCAAGAAGTCCATCCAGCTTCTTGGCTTCGCCGATGACATCGACATCATGGCCAGGAACTTTGAGACGATGGCGGAAACGTACATCAGACTGAAGGCTGAAGCTAGCCGGATTGGACTTGCCATATACGCATCGAAGACAAAATACATGAGAGGAAGAGGTTCTAGGGAAGACAATGTTAGCCTCCCACCCCGAGTTCAGATTGACGGTTACGAAATCGAGGTGGTCGATGATTTCGTGTGGTGGTTTCACTGGTGACGCACGAAGTTGACTATCTACGGCCACGAGACCTGGATTATGCTCGTGGAGGACCAGGTGGTGGAGGACGGAACGTGGAGGAGTCAAATGAGCCACGAATTGCACCAGCTGCTGGGAGAACCATCCATCGTCCACAGCGAAAATTGGGCGACTGCAGTGAGGTGCACAGCGGGCAAGGTGGATCGACCAAGTAGAAGGTGACCTGCGGACCCTTCGCAGACTACGAGGCTGGCGAACTGTGGCCATGGATCGAGTAGAGTGGAGACGACTTCTTCGGACAGCAGATTTAGTGTATTGGATGACATCCTTAACCCCGCATTAATTTATTTTATCAACAATTTGAGTTCAGAAAAAAAAACAAATAGAATATCCTGAAATTCAGAGAAATTAAGAAAAGTACTCTAATGATCAATATTGACTTGATATAATGCTGCAATTTTGTATGGATTTGGTTCAATTCACAATTCTAGTCGCAGAGCTTGTGGCTGTTGTACCCTATAATTTTTAAAAGGACTACATCCTTAAATATGTTTCCATTTTGTCGAGATCACAACTTTTGATTTTAATCTCTTTCCCTTTTCCCGCACAATTTTTTTCTGGATTTCCTTAGCGTGGTAAGAAAAGACCATAATTTTGATTTGATTTGGAAACGAAACCGATCATAAAAGATCCATGGAGCGCCTCAATATGGCACATGTTATTTCCATTTCTAACGATATAAAACAGTCAAAATCACGACTTTCACCGCAATAACAAACGTGCGCCATTACCCATACGCGATACACATATGAAGGTATAAACCTTAACGGTGCAAATGTGGGTGGTGTTTACGACGATGTCGACGACGTGGTTGTAAATATTGTTCGCTCTTCGAGACGCCCGTCACGAATTTACCTTACCGTGGTTGATAAACATCTAAAACACCGTCGTCGTCTTCGTCATCATCATCATTTTGTCGAAAAACTGAAAGATACAGATATGTGTCAGTCAAACTGAGCGAACGATGTCGGTGCCGTGCATGTCAAGGCTAAGGCGAATGGAGTGATGCTCGACATATGCTCGATTTCGTTCAATATCAACCGACTCGAACGGGTTCAGAATGGTATGATTTCGATTGTATGTTTTTTTTTTCTAAGGGGGGAAAGCTTATTTTTATTCGAGCTTGGTTGTAACACTGCTGTAACCACACACACATTAACGCAGAAATGTTCCGATGAGCTGTGCTACCATATTACGCAGATCCTTGAAACCAGAGAAGTCGAACAAAAGAAAAGCATCACTTCTCGTTTCGAGTTCCGATGAAGCAGTTCTCGAGTGCCATCACTGGAGAATTTCCGTAATGGATCCGGAATACGGACGTGGCTTTGAATGGATTTCGGTAGATGCACGAAAAGCACGTCACACCTTCAAAGCAATTCTTCCGGAAAGCACATCTTACGCTTAGTGAAAGCACCACTACCACCATCGCGTGCTATTGTTTTAATGTAGGTACCAGCCGGGCCTGTTTGGGCTGTCGTGTATTTCCATCGTCATCTGGTTCCAACACTTTTCCGTCGAATTAAATATAATGTAGTGGAAATGCCGCCGGCTTTCGCCATCAATTATTGTTACACGATACGCACTGAAGCAGCATATCCCATTGAAGCGTTCTTATTTTTACTGATATGGTTATTTCCCCTTTCTCTCGTTTCAGTGAAAAATGGAGCAATTTGAACAACTTTTAACGTGTTGCGTGTGTCTGGATAGATACCGCAATCCGAAGCTTCTACCATGTCAGCACTCGTTCTGCATGGAGCCGTGCATGGACGGCCTCATCGACTACGTGAAGCGACAGGTGAGTACGTGGGTGGGCTTTCGGTGAATCTCAGCTCGACAGAAGACCGAGTGGTGGGCAATACAAATGATGCCGAGCGAAAACGCACCTGGTACCGCGGATGGGCCACGTTGAATGATAGACAGTCAAAAACATACACTCAACAGATTTTCAAATCAAAGTAGATTAAAAGTTACGCTAAATCGCAACTCTCCTGACCGGCGCATAGCTTGGAATTAAGAGAGAGAGAATACGAACTTAGTATAAAAATATGATACATCATAAGGTATTTTCTGCAAGTATACCAGCCTTGTTTAAACCTGGTTTGTTTGTTTTTGGGGGCTGCCATTGAGATTTTGATTTTATTGCCAATGGATTGGGAAACGAAGTTTGAGGAATCATCGAAAGCAGTTTCTTTTGTTTGTATTAAACTATCAGGTGTCCAAGTCCATCGATGACACAGATCCAACCAGCCCAAAGGTAGCTCCGAGTGCAACAGGTACTTTTCTGGCAAGTCGTAAGAATTATATCCCCCTCGGAAGATTACAAGGAGTTCACTTAATTAACTTAATTGTACTTATTTAAGGAAAAAAAAAATAAAACCCATAAGACGGTAGCCCTAGGTATACACCTTTGGAATTGATGAAACAACCCATAAAAAATGAAAAATATTCCTTTAAAAACATCCAAATGATCCTTTAAGCTCTGAGGTCAATTATCTCGAATATGGTAGAGATGATCGAAAAATCCAACTGACAACCTTTTCTAATTATGCCAAAGAATATTCTGTGAAATGGTTAAAGTCCAGGGGCTTTCCAAATAAAAAAAATGGTGGGGTTGTGTACAAGACAAGACCGCATGGTTGACGTAGACTACGTTAAGCTGCGTAGTGAAATTCTCGTGAATCTTTCTAGATATTGATTTAAAATACAGTAGAAGTAACCTATGATTTCGGTCCTATGTACATATTTTGGATCGGAGAAGAACCAGCCCAGGGCTAAAAGTCTCCTTAATAAAGATATAAAAAAAATTGGATTTCCTACTTAGTAAAACTTGGTTAAACTCAGGACTTCATAAAAATGCGAATACATATTTTATTACATTTGGTTCCTAAATTATACAATAAGATATGAGAAAGGCTTTCTCCAGGTGATTCATTGAAGCATCCAACAATGACCGTCATGACGGCTGATATTCCCTATCACTTCAAGATTTCTAGGGTAGGAGATCGAAGGTATGGTCACCGAAGCAAGCCTGACCCCCGAGATCTTGGCGAAGCAAGCGGTTGGCCGATTCAAGAACCCCTTGCTTCCCACGGTTGAGATACTGGAAGTCCAGAAGCTGGGCTCAGTATCTTTCAGCGAGGGTTAAAAGAGCTTTACCCCTACAGACTCGTTTCGGGTGACCTTTTCTGGTTCAGCCCTTCCTCACTACATCGAGTTGGGAAAACTTCGGCTACCTGTGCGTTTGTTTGTTCCTCGGGTCATGAACTGCCAAAACTGCAAACAGTTGGGACATACGGCCTCTCACTGTGGCAGCAAGGCAAGCTGTTCCAAATGCGGGGAGAAGCACGAGGATGGCGCCTGCACAGTCACTGCACCAAAATGCGTGTACTGTAAGGGAACTCCTCATGGTCTCTCGTCGTGCCCGGCGTACAAACAACGCGGGGAAAAACTAGAACGCTCTCTTAAGGAGCGTTCCAGGCAGTCTTTTGCAGCAATGCTAAAAACAGCCACACCATCAACCAACGACAAAAATCCCTTTGCTGTTTTGTCTGATGACGAGTCTGACTCTGACTTGGCTGAGGAGGGAGTTTCTTTCAGTTTTCCGGAAGGTTCTGCACGGAAACGAAAACGCATCCGTTCGCGGAAAGTTGCAGATAAGGAACCCAAAATCAGATTGCCCAAATCAAGGAGTGATGGAAAAAAGGAAGTTTCAACTCCTCCTGGTTTCCGCAGAACTGACTATACCCAGAATATTCCCTCTCTCCCTTTGGACATCAAAAACCCTTCATCTGGGTTGTTCTCATTTGATAAAATTGTGGACGATATTCTCAAGTACCTCAATATTTCTGATCCTCTCAAAAGCATTGTTCTGGCAATGCTTCCTACTGTGAAGATCTTCTTGAAGCAATTGACATTGTAGTAGCCCCTCATTGCAGCAATCATTTCCTTCAATGGATAATTTTCCAAACGAGGTCAGGGATTTGATCACTGTTCTACAGTAGAATTATCGAAGTCTCATTCCTAAATTAGATCCTTTTAAGTTTTTAGTTCACAATAATGACTGTGATGCATTTGCTCTTTGTGAAACTTGGCTCTCTTCAGATATCGAGCTTCCATTCCTTCTATAGAGTGAATCTTCCACAATTTCCAGGTATTGAAGTTGTCGCATGTCAGGCTATTATTAAAAGTAAGAGCCTTTGCATTGCTTCTGTTTATATTCCTCCTAGAGCCATTGTTAATCGAAAACAACTTTCAGATATCTGTTCGGTACTTCCTGCTCCACGGTTGACTATGGGAGATTTGAATTCCCACAGTACAGGCTGGGGGGAACTGTATGATGACAACCGTTCTCCTATGATATATGACCTCTGTGACAACTTCAATATGACAATTCTTAACAATGGAGAAGTAACATGTTTGGCTGGTCCATCCTCAAATGGAAGTAAATTAGACCTCACACTTTGCTCTAACTCATTATCGTTGGATACAAAATGGTGAGTGACAATCTGGAAGGAGCGATATACCTAGCTCCGGTCCTCACAAGTTCCTACCTCACGCCTCCACGAGTCATATGATCACAAAAGACTGCCAGCTGAAACATGGACACAGCTGGTTGGCGTAGCCTGGGCAATGTTGTCAATCCGACAATAGCAGAGTGAGGAGGTTCGACGCGAACACTGGCGCGGTAACCATAGCACGGTGATAGAGGAAATGCTTCGCCAACCCGAGCGTCTGTTCACCATGGAGATGCGGCTCAAACAGCGTCTGACTGGCATCCAGCGGCTGAATAAGAAATGCTCTTTCCCGGAAGCTACACCTAAGATGGCAGCCCCATCACGGCCGATAGGAGACCTTAGGCCAACCACCTACTGTCTCTGAAACCTTTACAATTGTTACAGAAACCAACAGAGAAAGACATCGAACTGATATAACGGCAACGACTTTTAGCGCAATACAACGGACACGAATTGGATCATGGAATGTATTCACGTTAGCCCAGCAGGGTAAACTGGCACAACTCGCCAACGAGGCGCGACGCATGAAGCTAGAAATCCTGGGACTGAGTGAAGTTCGTTGGCTAAACTTTGGAGAACACACACTGCCGTCGGGACAGATACTACTATACTCGGGTATTCGAGGTGAAAACGCTCCCCGCCATCGTGGAGTTGGTCTCCTACGTAGCGACCAGGCAAGTGCTGCGCTCATCAAGTGGGAGCCTGTTAATGAGAGAATAATCGTAGCCAGATTTAGAACACGGGTTCGTAACCTTACCATAATCCAATGTTATGCGCCTACCGATGCTGCCGAGCTACAGGACAAGGAGAATTTTTACAGTCAACTGAATGCCGTCGTGGATAAGGTTCCAAAGGGTGACATCAAGATCTACACTGGCGACGTCAATGCGAAGATCGGCTCCGACAACACGGACTATGAGCGTGTCATGGGACGCCATGGTCTCGGCGAAATGAGCGAGAACGGTGAGCTGTTTGCAGAATTTTGTGGCAATAACGACATGGTGATCGGGGGCTCGCCAGTGCACAAAGTCACGTGGGTTTCCCGTGATGGACATACCGAGAATCAGATCGACCACATCTGCATCAGCCGAAAATGGAGACGGAGCCTTCTTGATGTCCGGAATAAACGCAGCGCCGACATCGCGTCTTATCATCACCTTCTAATCGATGAAATCCGCCTACGCAAAGCGCGGATCCAGCGACGGGAGTAGAGACTCGGGCGGCGGTTCAACACACGCCGACTTGAAGATCCAGCGGTAAAAAGGTCTTTTGTTCATGAACTTGAGACTTGAGCTGCGGACGTTCCAGAAGGTGGCATCGTAGACGAACAATGGACGGCCATCAAGAATGCCTTTATAGAAATAAGCGAGAACAACTTGGGTGAGCTGCGCACCCAGAGGAAAGAGTGGATCACAGATGAAACCTGGCGGAAGATTGAGGAGCGTAGAGAAGCAAAAGCCGCGATAGAGTGGGCGAGATCCAGAGGAGCCAAGAACGAAGCCCGTCAACGGTACTCGGCTCTAGAGAAGGAAGTCAAGCGCTCTTGCAGACGGGACAAGCGAGCGTGGGTGAACTCCTTGGCCGACGAAGGGGAGAAAGCCGCAAACATTGGCGATATACGCCTCCTCTACGATATCTCACGACGCCTGAGTGGAGCAAGGATGAACCCGAGGATGCATGTGAAGGACACGACTGGACAATTGCTTACCGACCCCACTGACCAGCTGAAACGCTGGTTTGAGCACTTCGAACAACTTCTTCAAGTTTCGACGGCCAACCAGCCATCAACATCTCGGCATGATCCGCCTAGGGTGCGGCGCATCACTCGCGTCAATTCCGAGGCCCCATCACTGCAGGAGATTGAAGCAGCTATCCGAAGCATGAAATCCAACAAGGCTCCAGGGGTCGATCGTATATCAGCAGAGATGCTCAAAGCTGACCCCATGCTATCCGCACAAATGTTGCATCAACTATTCTGTAATATCTGGGACACCGTGACTTTTCCGGCCGACTGGATGCAGGGCATCTTAGTGAAGGTCCCAAAGAAGGGGGATCTGACTGTGTGCGACAATTGGCGAGGCATCATGTTACTGTGTATTGTTCTCAAAGTTCTGTGCAAAGTTATCCTGAATCGGATACAGGAGAAGATCGACGCGACTCTCCGACGGCAGCAGGCAGGATTCCGTGCCGGAAGATCTTGTGTGGACCATATTGTCACACTCCGCATCATCCTGGAGCAGGTTAATGAATTCCAAGAGTCCCTTTATTTGGTATTCATTGA